AAAGGATTAAAAGCACAAGTTTAACTCAAAAACATAACCAAATCATAAGCTAGAAGGGTACAAAATGATATATAAATATGCACCGATCAAGCGCCCTCAGATGTTGATCATTGAGCTTGACTTGAATTCTGATGGGCGAAGATTGCCGTTTTTCGCGCTGATCGTTGATCCTATCACGGCAGTCGGAGTAGACTTGGTATTCTTGATGCTGCTCCCTCGAGGAGGGTATGAACAGCCTTCAGGAAGCGGATGGTTTGTCTAAGGCATGCCGCTTCTCCTTATCCTGACCGTTGGGTTTTCGTATGCTTTTAAAAGACTTCTCCTGCCGTGGATGCATGGTCTGTTCCAAGCCGTTCTGCAGCTGGGTGGAGTGTGTTTGCTGATCGTGCAGTTGCCTCTGGCTGTCATCCAGTTTAGAGGCGAGGATATTGTTGTGCTCCTGCATTCTGGCCATGTCGTGCTGTAGAGTCTCCATGCGAGCCTCCAGAGTGTTTGGCTGAGCAGGGGGATCTGTTCGCGGTGTGTGGAGCAGAGGAACGAGGTTGGGCTCGCCATCGATGCCGAGAATAGGGCCATTGGCAGGGAGGACCGAAGATGGATTCATTTTTTGGTCTCAGGGTTTTCTTTGTTTGAGATATGGGTTAATCGATAAGCGTTTCCCACAGACGGCGCCAATCTGTTGGCACTAAAACTGAACAGATAGAGATGAGTGCAAAGGTCAAGCTGGAAAGTCTTACCCCTGTATTGTGGTGAAGGGGCCTATTTATAGAGGGCATTTTGTATGCTCTTAGTACTTAATTTCGATGTGGGACTCGTGGGAGGGCCCTATGAGGTCGACACGAGTCCTTAGATATTTCGGGCGAGTGCTTCTAGGTTGATTCTGCAGAATCGGTAGGAGATACCGATTGTAGTCTATGTTGGGCCTGTAGCGACCTTTTGCCCACTTGAGACAATATCATCGGTAGCCGACGCTGATTGTTCGGAGCCTTGGGCACTTGGGTGAGTTTCTAAGATCCACGTGTCGTTGTATGAGCGGAGGGTCAGATATGGTACAAACACAAATCAATAACTTACCAGTTTTAGGAATTCATAATTTACCTTATTTATGTTTTAGGTGCATAACTAGAACAAAAAATAAAAAAAAATAAAAAAAAGTAAATATCAATAAATTGAAATAGGCATGTAATCTTATGTAGCGCAAAGGTCAAAGGACTTGGATCAACAACAATTTCTGCGTGGATTGCACCCAAAATCTCTCCTCATTATTGGACTTATGCCAAATTTTCTATTTATTTTTTAGCTTTCATTCTTTGTTCTTAACTCCTACTTTAACTATCCTATGTTGCCTTTTATATCGAAGAGACTATATTTCCCTAATATTTATGATGCTTCCATTTGTTTATGTACTCAGATTCTTTGTTACATGTTTACCTTTAAATTTTGTTTTATATATTTATATCTTGTTTTTAAATACTCATTATTAGGTCAAGTCAAACCGAATCTTACATAAGCTTGTCTCATACAAAGCTAACTCAACACAAACCCATCAGACCTAGGCAAGCTATAGTCCACAGTCTCAATTTGTTAGATTAGATAACACAAGAAAATGGACCTTCTCCATCATCCATAAGATGGAAATTACATTACAATAAACTTATTATTCTGATGCATCTTCCTTTTGGGCAGACTCGTACATAGATACAATCACCAAAACCTGCAACATATACAAGAATAAGCACACTTTGTTAGCTAAATTCATGTTAAGAAAACATAAGATTTTGCAGTGCATTATATCAAACACATTGGCTTACTTGGATTAGTGACAACGATAAGGCCAACGCCATTGAAATCACAATTGTAGCGTCCATCGGTCTTATAGTAAAGATTCATGGCAAATGAGGCATGGTTTATGAGGGTATTTGGAAAGTAGCATGAACCATGTTCTTGTATTTCACTGCATTCTTTTAATATTCCATAAGTGAAGATTATGATGTTCTGTAATGCAGAGTTTGGGGTTCCTGACTTAGGCACACACCAAGTATCCTGCAAGGGGCAAACCCAACACAGCATAATAGTAATTAATTAAGTTTAATTAAGCATTTCGAATGATTTTGATATAATTAAGATGATTTGAAATCTTGGTTTAAATTATACTATTGTGAGGGAGAAATTGATTTGAGTTACCTCCTTTTTCTGTGGCTGTGGAGGTCCTTGTGGGAATCGAATTAATTCATAACCCTAGGTCAAATAATTCCTTCCATTTGGGGATTATTTGACCTAATTGGGAATTATTCAATTTAATTGGGGGTTACCCAATTAAATAGAATGTTACCTAATTAGGTTGAGGATTGATTTGATTCCTACGAATATTCTCAATTAATGGAGGAGTTACCTAATTAAATTAGGTATTGATTTGATAGCTATCCTGATTAGGGATTTGATTTAAATCAAATAAATCAAATCCCTAATTAGTCAAATTTCGCCAAATTGGGGAGGAATAATTCCCTTCCATCTACGGAATTATTCCTCTGAAACCCTAGCTCCCAAGACCTCTATGTCTGCCGCGCAAATCTCACGGCCTGGAGTTCCGGGCCGAGGGGATGTGCGTTGACACGCGGTTTCCTGCTTTTGGATGAGGTGCGGTTGTGCGCGGGCGTGCCAGCACGGTCTATCGTGCGTCGAGATGTTGATGAGTGTTGGATGGATAAGTGGTGCGCCTGTTTGAACTCGTCTTCTTAATCAAACGATTGTAGCCGAGAGAGGAACTGGTCTCGGCTGTTAGGTTCACGGCCTGAACTACAAGGCCGTTGAGTGATGGTGTTGGTGGTGGGTTTTGGGCGGTGCTCCGGCGCGCTGCTCAAGGAGCGGCGGTCGTGTGATATATGAGGTGAGTGAACGAACAACAAGGATGGTGCTCCGGCGCCTTGAAAATCAAGGGTCGTATGATATATTGATGAATGGATTTTCCTTACAACCTAACACTACTCCTAGGAAAGTAAGTAAAGATATTGAAAGTGCATTACAGGAAAAAATAAGTTGCTCCGTGGGAGGCTTTGTTTTGGTGTTGAACCCTTTGAATGTAGCTCGAGCCTTGTATTTATAGGAAGGGTCCCTGGAGGAGTAATCGAGGCTGAAAATCTGCATGGTGGAGCTGGATTGGAGCAAGTGGGCAGTCCAATCGACATTTGGGATCGTGAAGTATGGTGGTGTGACCCCAGAAATCCTGGTGAATCTCTGCCGCCGCTCCTGATCGTGGGTTCTGAGCTTCTGGCCGTGGAGACGCATTTATGGCCTGGATAGCTGGTGAACCAATATCTCAAGCTGTCAGAATTCTTTGTGAGAATGTCCACGTCTAATCACTCTGATCCTCATCACCAAATCCTGACTTCAATCATTTCCCACCTTCCCTCGTGCATTAAATGCTCCTTTGTGGCCAGTGGGTTTGCTGCATTAAACAGGCACTACTTCATTAAATGAAGCCTGGGACCCTGTTGTCACGTGATGATTTGCTTTTAATGCCTCTGGCCGTGAATTTGCCCGGCCTCAACCTCGGCCTGCACTTAAGGCTGAGATGATCATGCCTTAGCATTTCTTCTTATGTCTTTAGAAAGGCGAAGTACCCTGGCGAAACGCCGCGTTTCAGTTTTACGAACAAGTGCCAGGGCTGAGAGAAAGGGTTCCTTCGGCCAGCTTATGGCCGTGATTTATTAAGCACAAACACTCTATAAAAGGATGGCCACATACAAGGGTTGAGGTACGTCTAAACTCCTACTGAAACTCTACAAAAATTATCTCTCAGAAACCCTAGCCACCTCCTTTCTCTCCCTCTTTTACATAAGGCTCCGGCCGCCCGGTTTACCCCATAAACACATATAACTCCGTACCCTATTTTAGCTATCGTTTCTCTTCAGATCGATTGAACTGACTTAGGCATCGGAGGGCCTTTGGCCAACACCCCCCGGGTGTGGTCCTCTTATTGTTATTCGTTTTGCAGGGAGAAAGAGAGGCGGAGAAGACGAAGGAATCTTTAGACGAATATTCCCGCGGGAGGAAATTTGCTCCCACAAATTGGTGCTTTCATTAAGAGCACGAGTTATACTCAACGCGTGCTCAAGGAATCCGTTCCTCCTATTTTCCAATCCACCGAAGCCTTCCAAACAACCATGGTTGGAAGCAAACGTCTTAGAAGCAAAACCACTGCGATGGCGCACTCCGGAAAGGCCAAAACCTCGCTGCCACCACGAGGTACAGCTGCTGCTAGCGATTTGCAGCAACCTCCCATCGCTGCCAGCGCGTTCCAGCAGCTTCCCGGCGAGATCCAGCAACATCTGATGGCTGCCAGCGCGTTCCAGCAGCTCCCAGGAGACTTGCAGCAGCCTCCCATAGCTGCCAGTTCATTCCAGCAGCTCCCCAACACTTTCCAGCAGCCCCCCGTGCCTGCCCTTGCTGTCTAACCACCTCCGGGGGCCTCACAACCTCTCCAAACAGCTGCTGTACCTGTTTTGCAGCAGCCTCCCGTGGCTGCCAGCACATTTCCGCAGCTTCCCGTGACTGCCAATACATCGCAGCAACCTCCCATGGCTGCCTATACCTTGCCGCAGCCTCCATAAGCCATAGAATGGCCGCCAATGGCCGCCGGAACGGCCATACATGCGGCTGGAATTGTTCCACCTCTTATTGCACATACCTTATTTAATATATTTATTATTTAAAGGCACTAGTGATATTATAGTTGGCATATAATCGTGTTTCTATCATGCGTGCTAATTACATTTTATCACTAATGATCAGAAAAATACCAAATGAGTTGGTGGCTAACCTACGAGTCCTTGGTCCACCTGATCAATGATTCTCCGATCAACCCGACGCATAATCCCTCAAGCATTCCCTCCATTGCCTCCATGCTCGACGCACGCTTCCGCGTACACCTCTCATGAAACCCTAGCCCGTATGCAGTTGGGCTTCCAAATCGCGAGGGTCGCCGACGTGTCCAACCAGCAATGCGTACAGAGGACATCAAGAAGCTTGTGAGTGACCAACTACGAGACTTGAAAACTGGCAGGAACTTCGAAGATGCCCTGCGCAAGGAGATGGATCAAGCAAACTCCACACCTTTCACCGTCGAAATTGAGCAGGTAGCTCCCCCAAAGCGGTTCTCGACGCCTTCGTTTACACCCTTCAAGGGAGACTCCGATCCCGAGAGCCACCTAAAACACTTCAAAAGTGTCATGATCCTCCACAAAGCCGACGACGCGTTAATGTGCAAGGTGTTTGTGATGACCCTGCGGGGAGCAGCTCAGGACTGGTTCCACACCCTACCATCTGGGTCGATCAGCAGCTTCAAGGAGTTGGCATACGTCTTCGCGAAAGAATACACGTCTTACCGGACAATCAAGAAGAACCCCGACCACCTGTTCAACCTACGCAAGAAGTCCGACGAATCCCTTCGAGATTACATCAAGAGATTCAAAGCAGAAAAGGCCAACATCATAGCATGTGACGACCGGATCGCGTCCTCTGCTTTCAAGAAAGGCCTTCCAGCTGAACACGACTTATACCGCGAGCTGACTATCGCTCCCAGCCAGACTCTGGCAGAGGTCTTCGCAATCGCAGAACGTTATGCGCTCTGGGATGACGATCGAATCGCCGCAAAGAAGTCTACTAAGCAGGAAGATCAACCAACCAAGAGGGCAGGCCAAAAGAACGACGAGTTCAGCAACAGAAACAAGGACAAGTGTTAGGTTCATTTTGACACATGATTTATCATGTTATTCACCCAATATTTTGAGTTAGTTCTTGACATTTTATAGCTTTTTACTTC